CCCCAAAAGACACTGAGCTAAGGGAGAGGGGAGCCAGGGAGAGAAAGGCCCAGTTGTAGGGGACAGGCAGCAGAGGAGGGCAGGGAGGAGGGTGGGGCTGATCTCCCCCTGAGGCGCCTTTCCAGCCTCACTGCTCCCAGGACTCAAGTGTGAGACCTGCCCTGGCCCCGGGGACAGAGCCAAGGGGCATGGGGAGGGCCCAGCCAGAGCCTGGGAGAGGTCAGGGTCTGGATGGGCCTGCAACCAAGATCTCAGTTTGGTTCTCCTGTTAGGGTAGGAACCCTGGCCAGCCTGGCCTTCCCTGGACTACACTGTCCATGACGCCGTGCCAGCCTGCTAAGCCCCCGTAGAGATAGTGTCTTGCAGCCAGCAACATTCCCTATTGTCAGAGAGGCTGGAAACCCATCCTGGAGTTGGAGTCATGGGCAGTTGAAGAGGAGGCAGGGGCCTCACCCAGCAGGCTGAAAAAAATGGGTGTCATAGTAAGGAAAGGCCTTTACCTCACTGACCCCAGTTAATCATAATAAAAAGTATGGTTTTTCTCTTCTAAAAGGCTCTAAATATGATACTAAAATGTCATGTTAGAGAAGAAAGATGTTTAAGTTTTCAGTCATCCTCCATCATTTTTCAGATCTGAAATCCATGCCCTCACCAACCCAGACTAGAGGATGGGCTTCTGCCAATAAAGGGTGATCGGTGGCCCCCAGGAAAGGCTCTGGCTGGATGCTGCCACACCTGCCACCGAGTTTCTAGGGATTGCCCATTCCTTTTTGTTTTTTTTTGGCCTCGTGGCTTGCAGGATCTTAGTTTCCTGACCAGGGACTGAACCTGGGCCCTAGCAGTGAAAGTGCTGAGTCCTAAACACTGGCCCTCCAGGGAATTCCCAAGGGATTGCCCGGTCCCATACCCAAGTGCAGTGAGTTGAACAGTGCCCCCCCCAAAGATACATCGCCCAGAACCTCAGAACATGACCTTATTTGGAATAATGGTCTTTGCAGATATAATTAAAGCAAGGATTTCGAGATAAAGTCATTCTGGATTAGGATGGGCTGGCCCTAAATCCAATGATGAGTGTCCCGTGTAAGAGAAAGGAGAGGTATATTTGGACACAGAGAGACACAGAAAAGACCAGGTGAAGACAGAGGCAGAGACACTGCAAGTGAGCCTGCACAAGCCCAGGAACGCCTGAAGCCACACAGAAGCCGGAAGCTGTGATCAAAAAAGAGCTTCCTGTAGGGCCACTGGAGGGAGCTGACATCTTTATTTTGGGCTTCTGGCCTGCAGAACCGTGAGAAAATAAATTTTTGTTTTAAGTCACCAAGTTTTGGGGTAATCTGTTATACTAGCTCTAGAAAATTAACATACAGAGGGAAGCAGTAGTGGGTGAGGGTGAGGGAATGGGAGGGGAAGTGCCCAGGGTGCAGCACTGGAGGGCTTGGGAGGAAGTTCAGTGAATGGTGGGCACGTGGGCCTGGACCTCAGGAAGGAAGCTGGACCCTGCTGTTGGCTCTGGACACTAGGGGGGCTTACTACACAGCCCTCTGTAGATGAGCATGACTAGCAGGAGAGGCCCCTCCAGCTCCAACAGTAATCCACAGGAGACACAACCCCAGGAGGTACCACTGAGCAACAGGCCCGGATCTGGGGCACTTCCAGGTGTCCCATGTTCAGCATCCCCTGGGGGACTTGGACCCTCCCAGAGTCTGACACACATCTGGCACTTTACAGGAAATGTGTGCTCATCCTTGTTCACGCAGCTCACACATGCTCACATGCATGCATTCACACACACATGCACTGTAGCAAAGGCCACCGCTTGGCTGCGCCCAGCTGCTTCTGTCCCAGGCTCTGAGCTTGGTGAGTGCGGAGGGCAGGTGTCAGTTCGCACAGCATCCAGTCCAGAGTGATGAACGTGGCAGGGGGACGTCAACCTGAGGTCATATGCCGTTAAACAGAAGACGTTGCAGGGCATGTGGGCAGTTCCTCAAGCAGCACCATACAACATGGGGGAAGCAGGCTCCTTCTCTCTTACAGGACATGAGTGTAAAGGAAAAACTTCTTTTTCTGTACTCACAACACTTCTGACACCAAAAGTGGGGGGGGGGGGTCTTACTGGTT